CCCCCTTCCAATTCTCCCCGCACAAACTCTGTTTTGGTGCAGTCACTGATTTTCAAAGGCACTGATGGGAGCATGAGCACACATGAGCAGTCCTGCACTGAGAGGATCCATCTCCTAAGGCCCCCTGCATCCCAACACAGTAGGAGATACCCCCCACCCCCCCAAAATCCCCAATCCTCATTTTAAAAGAGGTCTGGCAATATGGCTAATGCTCTAAGTATTGACCCCAACCCCCCCATTTCATAGTGACTAGCCAATACCAATCCAGTATTCACATAGCGACCCTGGGTAACAGATCCGCCACAGACCATACCACTTGTCATTTTTAATTACGGCAGCTTGAGATAATAGGACTAGTAGTCTGTGTTTACATGCATGCATTAACACTTCACACTTAAAGACAGACACATATCAAACATAAATACTGATTTGATTTGTGGATTGTTTGGATATCTCTTAGTTTGGGCTGTTCTGTCTCCTTTGCTGAAACATCTGAATTAAGAGAAACAGTGTCAAATTTATTTAAAGCAAATGAGTGATTAACAGAAAGTGTGCAGTTGCAATCCTACCTCTTTTATTATGGTGCTTAAAGGAGCTTTTGTTTCAGGATAGTTATTCTTTTAGTCCAAAATACATTGCTTTAAATCCAAATAACAACAAATTTAGTTTTTTTAACAAATACTGTCTCCCAAAAACATATGCGCTCGAACATTCGAACACATAGAGATATCCCATAATTCAATTAGTCAGCATCTGTCTACAGTGTGTTTGACAAAAGAACAGGGTTGGACTCATCCCTCCATGGCAGGTTGGCTTTTATTGAACTTCAGGCTCCACAGATGGTGCGGATGTTTTCAGTCACTGTGCTTATACAGAGGGCCCGCTGTCAAACTGTGTCTGTATCTAGTAAACACACACACACACACACACACGCACAAACATGTGCATGTACGTGCACATTGACACACTTGTCAGAAAAAGGCTGAAATGAGGAAATTAGGATGTACAGACAGGATAGCTTGGGTCATAGGGTTTTCCTGTGTTCTTTACACATTGTACTTCTTTGTTATCATAATTATCCTTTGTAATCAATTTAGCCCATGAAATCAGGTTTAATCTAACGGGGCACACTCAAACCAAAAGAAACGCAGAGCTGTTGGATCTAATAAAGTAAGTGAGTTGACCCCTTTGATCTCGTCCTCTTCTCTCTCATCTGTGTCATTGGACAGATTTATCTTTCCTTTATGTCCTTCCAGAGGTAAAAGGCTTTTTTCATGGCAGACATCTCGGCATGTCATAATAAGATAATTCGGCATTTACAACGTAACAGGAATTCAAAGACATCACCTTGGGCTCTGAGAATAGAATAAAATGTGATTTTATACAATTATCTTAGATGATTAATTAAGAATATATTCAGCAGATCGATAATGAACATTTTTGTTTGAAATTCAGCAGTTGTAACATTACAAATAAGTTTGTATAAACCACATCAGATAGCCTACATTCCTCACCAATACAATACCATCTATGGCTATGACACTACTTTGTGCCATTACTATCCCCATACCAACCACACACTGCAGTAATCCATGAATAATCCCCTTCCACTGCATTGGTGTAAACATGCACAATGCTTCAGTCTAGTCATTGCAGGGCAATGCATTAATGCCTCCTCCTCCTCCTCCTCCTCCTCCCCCCCCAAATTCCAGTCTGGCATAATCCATATCACAGTGGGAATAAAGTCCTGCTAACAAAAGAGACTGGGTGAGGGTGAAAAAACTGTCTGTCTTTACCGTGGTCACAGTACTCATGTAACTCATGCACTCATGCAGTATCATCTCCCAACCAGACACACATACACAAACATACACCAAACAGCGCTTGTTTAATCCTCCTAATTAAGCGCTAGTTGCTACCCTAATTTCGCCAAGTTTGTTAAATATGTTATCAAGGTAAATGGGCAAATACAATCTGACATATGACATCTGGCTGTGAGTGAATGCATAGAGTTAAGTGGGAACCAGCACTATAATTAGAGATGAGGTGAGAAGGACAGGGAGGGAGATAGACAGTTAGATCTGCCTAGCAACAGTGCAAACAAGGCCAGGGAGGAGAGGCGTGGGGGATGTTGGCAGAATGAGCTGGATGGAGTGCAGACACACATTACATGTATGTTTTTTTTTTTACACATCCATTATTCATTACAGTAGGAATTTTGCACGTCCTTTTACAACGTGTGCACGTTGAGGTATTTAGATTCCATTCCAGGCTTAAAGTGCTACGGTCTCGTAACAAGGGCAACGACTGTTATCAGCTCTTTCAAAGCAATTGATACTGTGGACAGGGGTATTGTGTTTTAAATGATGTACTAATAATTGTTCAAGATTATCATGATTATATTATTATATAATTTGTCTCAACATAAATTTAAAGCATTGTACAGACTTGTAAGACATAAATACAATAGGAATAGAAAATTACAGTATGACGTTTTGGCAAATGCGTTCTTAGTGAACATATAAATGGCTTGTGTGGTTTGTGTAGGCCTGTTTTTTGTGTACTAGCACCACTTGTTTTGAACCTGACAACAGTGCTCTTCAATTAGTCAAAGGATCCCAAAGGCATAAGTACACAATGTGCACCCAAATCCATCAGAAGGTAGTGCGTGTTATTATGTTGTGTTGACAGAGTAGCCATCAAACAGAGCATCAGCACATTTGGGTGGTGAGTGTGTCACACTGTCATGATAAAAAAACAAGTGTGACATGATGTATTGTTGCCTGTCAAACAAAACAACAGTTGCTAGGTTGAGAGGAGGACATTGAAAGACTGTCGTAAACATAATAACACTCATTCACTTGGAGCGAGTGACATCTTACCTTACAACTCTGTATATCTCATTTCTGCTTCTCCTGCACACACTGCACTCATCTCGTGCCACTAACTTGCAGCCAGAGTCAAAACAAGGGCAACGGCTGCATAAGAAAAGCATGCTTGTTTCTGGTGACTGGTTCTGCATGCATACTCCTGGGGGCGATGATTTATGACCTGGAGAGAGGAAAGGGGATATAGTAGTAGGAGCAGAAAGCACTCTGCCGGATTGAATGGTGTACTGGATGATCCTTTGCCAGGTCCATAAGGGCAGTGTCAGGGAAGTATAATGGGAATGGCGCACTACCCATTTGCAGATCGTGCTCTTAGCAAAGATACTGTAAGAAATGTCTGACAAAGCTGAACTCTTTGTCCTCACAGGAATTTATCAAAGAAGTATCAACCCAAGAAGAACTCACGGGAAGAGGAAGAGAGCAAGTAAGTGAAAGGATTTTGTACACAAAATAGATTAAAGCAATATTTCAACTTGTTTTGTATTTTGAAAAATACAGGTAAAAATACCGTTAGATGAGTCAAGAAATAGTCTGGCAGATAAGCCAACATAAAACATCAAATTGACCTTTTTTACACGTTGAATTTGTTATTGTTGGACAGGGCCATAACATAACTGGATGCCTGCTCTATCCTTGTATTTAACAAAAAGATATGAGAGTTGGCATTGATCTTCTTGTCATACTCCCCACCAGACAATAAATATTTCCCCAAATGTCAAACTATTCCTTCACCATGGAACGCTGTGGAAACCTGTGCTATTTCTGAACAAAAGGACTGTTTTGGCAACTATACCAACTTTCCATTGACATCTCTTCCTGTTCCCAACAGGTATAGCTTCTGTCGAGCCTTCCTGACGACACTTAACGAGTTAAATGACTACGCGGGACAACACGAGGTCATAGCGGAGAACCTGACGTCTCAAATCATCACTGAGCTTTCGCGCTACCTGCAGGAGATCAAGGCGGAGAGAAAATCGGTGAGTCATCTTTTTTATATTCACCGTTGCGCTCTTTCCATATCCGATGATTTATTACTAGTTCTGTTTCTGAATGCCTTTTCTATGCCTTTGCTGTAAATCAAACATTTACTTTAGACAGTAGGACATGGATTCTGTAGAGAAAAACAGAAACACAGGCCCACAAGAAATTAAGTAGCCTGTTTTCTCTGCATATTCTATTTTGCATGAACTGAGGTCATCCCTGAATAAATATAGATACACCCAAAGGCTCGCTAGAAGTGCAGAACGTGACTTACTGAGTCCTTTTTATGGAACAAAGTCATCCTCTCTCTATCATTACAGGCCTATTTCTCTCTTTTAAACCAATTCACAAAAGATTGGTGCACCACACACTATTCTTAAATGTTGATGTCACTTTCATCCTCACCATTATAAAGTGATTTGGAAGAGCAGTGGACCTGCAGCGCATGATTCATAGATAACAATATGGTGCCCATTAAATCCATAGAGTTGGTGGAAGAGCAGAGAGAAAGTACTTTCTGAAAAAAATCTGTCATGGACTCTTGTGTCACGGAAGTCCAGCTGAGGGAACTGGGGTGGAAAACCAAAACCAGAGGGCTGCTCAAAGGCACAGTGACCTTTTTTAGAGAATATTTTCATGTGCACAACTGGCCACAATCCATGTTGCTGGGCTTGCTACTCCATCTAAATATAGGAATCCCTCACATTATTAGTGATCAGTTTTGATTTTCAACTTGGTTTTAGTTGCAGCAAACACAGAGAGAAAGGGGATTTCCAGTGCTAGAGGACTCATTCACCCCCTCCATGCCTGTTTTGTTTTTTTGGCTTTGGTTTGGCCTGGCTTGATTGGGCTTGACATAGCATCTGTCTCTCTAGTGACCAGATACAGGGTCCATGGACAGCCCCCTGCTGCACTGAGTCTGCAGGATGTCACTCTGACACCCTCCTTCCTCTTCATTTCGCTGCACTTTTCCTCTTCTTTTCCTCTATTTGTACGTACTTCTGTTTCTCTCCCCTCTGTCATTCTCATTATCTCCCCACAGTGTCTCCTTCACAACCTTTGCACCCCTCGGCTTCGCAGTTTTCTTCAGCCTCATTTTTTGCAGCTGATAATGTGAATAGTTGGTCATGTGTCTGCCTCCCTTGACTAAACAACAGTGTTTCTTCAGTTAGCCAGTGCAGGGGGTTTCCTTTCATAGCATGACCCCATCATTTACAGTGTCTTTTCAGAACAGAAGATCATTTCATCTAAAAGGCAACTGAACCAATAGTTCAGAGCAGTGTCCTTGCAGGGTAAATGTAGTCTTTATTTATGTATCTATTTTTTCTTTTTTGATTCAAAGACGCACTCACGCCCTCCACACTCTCATGGGTGATGGAGAATGACACTCTTTTAGATGTTCAAGTGTTGAAAAGGCTACTAAGAATCACAGCAACCCCTTTCCACAAAGAAGACACATCACAATTGGCCTTCATTTTTTACAGAAAAACATTCAGAGTTTTATAGTAAGTGTGTAGAAAAGATTCTAAAAAGTGTTTGTAAAGCAGTCATAACTCATGACTTCCCCACCTTCCTGTCATTCTTTTCTCTGGTTTCATTCGCATTAATTTTTAAGCACCACTCAGTGCTCTTTCTGTTGCTTTTTGATTTGTGCCCATGTCAGACAAAACTGTGCAGGCGGGCCCAGACAGTAGGATTAGAGGAGGGTCAGGGCCTGCCCCTCCTGGGTTTATAGGGAGCTTATTGAACAGGTAAAAATCCAAACTACAAATCAGAAGGGGGGAAAAAAAATAACTCATTAGTTTCTCACGTGGGGTTGTTTTGTAACTCACCCCACCTCCCTTTGCTGTTTCCCTGAGAGAACCTCTTGCTAAGCTCAGCTTGGGGTGGCATAGGAGGTGAAGCCAAGAATGCTGTCTGAAAGGATTTCATTTGAGAGCAGATATACTTGTTTTTACAAAAGTGGAATCTGGTTTTATAGGTCACACTACTCGATTTAATGTGTAAACCTATTTCATTCTTTAGATTTAGATTATAAAATGCACTGGAAGAAATATCAAAATATATCATGACCTCAGCAAGATAGCATTGCTTGTTTATGGCCTAATAGTATAATAGGCAACGATGAAGAGCAGGCAAGGTTAATATGGGATGAACAGCCTAAGTCTCACCGGACTGTGATTGTGCTGAGGAATCATAATAAGGTGTTCGGTCAGCATACTGCTGTCCTCACCACGTCTGTAAACACAGGGCTTAGGCATCCTCTCTAATGAGGTCTGATAGACCCTTAAACACTCAGACCTCCAGAGACTGCTCATTCAATCTAACACTTACATGTCACTATACTATATGTACTGAATACGGTATATCGATGTGTTACTGAAGGAGTCCACTTGAGCGTGAGTTCAGAGGGTGCTCTTTTGTATCCACTTGCACCCACAGCCCACCACGTAATTATATGTTTTGCTGTCGGGGGAAGTTTTTATCTGTCTTATCCTGCTGCGATGTGACATGTTCAACCAGCTAGAAAAGATGAATACATCTTATTTAGCTGGCAGGGAAAGGGAAATAAGCACTACATTTAGCAAAAAGTCAGTACTGCTCTCACTGGAGGCACAGAAGATGCAGTCACAGTGTAAAAACAATGTGTCTCTATGGTCTCACTTGCCTTCTTGTGTTGAGTGGAAAGACAAATAGGAAGCAGGGAGGGAGAATTGATTGTTGGATCTTCCCATCGTCGCTGTGTGCACATCTCACTCCAGAATGCAATATCACTCTGTTTGAACCGCCGCCTAATGGTTTAAACATGAGGAGCAAAATCTCAGTGGAGCTTTCATGAGGTTTAATCGTCTCTCTAGTCCCTAGATTTTGTATGACTTGTGGCTATTTCTAGTACCTAATGAGTATGTGTGTTGACAACTGTACAGGGCTGCAGGTGCACATTCCTACGAACCAAGCCACGTCAATGAATGACTAACAGATCAGCTTGTGTGTGAGCACAGATGTACATGTGCACCTCTTCACACGAGGAAACTCAAAAGCGTATACGCTGCGCTGGAGCCAAGTTTTTGTTCCTTTATTTGTCAGGTCCAAAAGATTTTTCCCTTTTTTTCCACCTCACATCTTTGTTTCGCTCAAAAACTAATTACACAGTTTCTGACTGTATAATGTGGTGACAGCTAGTGAGTCACACAGGGTGCGTGTCACACTCAGCCTCATCAGAGCATGGCTGACACTCACACTGGAAAGCAGGGAGGCAGATAAGGTAGACAGAGGACGGTGTAGTTGATGTGTATGCAGAGAAAGATTATATCTGTTGGTATTGTATAGATTGACTGATTGATTGAAATCTGTCAAAACAAGTCTACAGTCTACAGAGTCAGAGTTGTCTATAAGCTCGTCTGTTATTACATTTAGGCCCTTTCATTCTTGCATGCCTTGGTTCTGTTTCAAATGTTATGGTACCCGTAGAGAGTGGTGGTCTGAGCAGGGGGCTAGCATGAGGAATTTAGTCATAGCCCAGAGAGAAGTCCTGTTTCACATTATTAAGTAAATATTAAATCTGCTGTCTCTGATCTAATGTGCCTGGATGGATAATGATCATATTTTCCAATCCCACTTTTATTGCAGTTAATATATCAATGTAGTTAAAGCTCGGAGTTCGGGTCAAGAATTTGTCAGCGTGTTAACGTCCAGCTTTTCCCTCTCTCACTGTGTCTTTCAAATGCCTGGTAACTGAGAGTGGCAGCGTCAGGTCACCGACCTGTTGAAGTACCCCAGATGTCCCTGACAGAGCCAGCAGACACACGCTGTTACCAAGAGGGACGGGAGAAGGCGAAAGATGGGGGGTGTCCACTCTTTCCTGTGGGCCAAGTGCATCTATGAATTTAAACACAACAATGCTCAACACTGCAGAACATCTGCTTTAATGGCAGCCGCATTTATACCTGCACCACAGATGGTTGTTAGTCACAAACGTTGATACACTCTTTTTTTTTTTTTTATTGTGTTTGAAAGTGAATGAGCTCATGTGTCTTGGTTTGGTAACGCAAACATCATGTGTTCAGTAGACCTTCATCCTCCAGCGGGGTCTTGTGAAGCTGGTGGAGCTGTTTGGGGAAGAGTGTCAGCAAAGTTTGTTTATCTTTGTGGTGATGGAAGATTTGTTGATGCAGAGAGAATGAGATGCTGGATATTTTTCAGATATGTTGTTATGGAGACAAATATTTGGCTGAAGGCATTCTCCACAGCAACAATGATGTCACGCAGTCTGGTGCTGTGTGTTGTGAAGAGGCTTTTTGGTATCTTCACTGAATCCTATTATCATTTACTAAGACATATTTTCCAAGTTCATCACTGAAGAAGGTGGTTCTTATCAAACAGGAATTTGAAGGTTAGGGTTTTAAGAGCAGTTAAAAAAACACAACATGCTTGAGTGTACGTTTGTTTGTTTAGGACTTCCACAATGTCCCATTCTCTGTTAGAGCTCAAATACTTCCTCTGAAACACTGGAGCACTTCCTTATTTTACTCAGCTTCCCTCGAAACTTTGGGAAATGAGAAGTGCGACTACCTGAGGTAAACCAGTGCACATTCTCACTAACTACTCTCATGTTCTCATGTTGAGCGTTATCCAGGTGAGGTGAACCTTTTAGGCCTGTTGCATCAGTATTAATTTCACATCACTTGCTTGTGTGTTTGAGTCATTCCATAGAATACTGAGTACTTCCTTGTGCTTTCCAAAGCCCTAAAATGCAAGAGAAGTACAAGCAACAGCTTTCTGTTCTGCATAATGGCCTGTGTCCGTTATTGAATGGCAGCATCGATATTCAGCTCAGCTACAGACCCTAGCTTCCGCAGTCTGCGTAACCAAGGGATACCTCATTGATAGTCAAGTCTCTGTCATTTTCATTTTAATTTGATTCTTTTTTGATTCTTTAGCAGATTGATGTGACTGCAGGCAATGGAGGTAATAGTTGTATGCTTTAAGTAATCAAAATGTAGTTTCAAAACAACAAAGGTTTAAAATTGGTGCTCTGTGTTTCCAGAGCATCTGGCTGTGATCCATACAGAGAGCCTTAGAGAGATGTGCTCTGCCTCCGGGCCAAGTGACTGGTCTCTGGAGCAAGATAGGCCAAGTGAGGCCTTTAGAAAAACACACAGCCTATGTGCTGTGTGAGTTCAGACCAGCAGCTGCCACCTAGCCTGTCTAATATGCCATACTTGGCAGTGCCAAAGCCCATTGTGACCTGTCTGTCTCCCCCAAGATTACAATATCTGGCTCCTCGTACGCTTATTTTATCTCTTGGTATGCTCACTGTAAGCTTTTCACTTCATGTCCAGCCATTGTTCTTACTTTATCAGTTAGCTTTTTGCTGTTTTTTTATTCTACTTTCTCATCTAACAGTTGTAACTGTCATTTTTGTATCCTGTTTGTTCAGGGACAGGCGAATAACAAACTTGACAAACTGTTAAGACTATTAGTATAACGGTTTCAATGGTCAGAACATGTGCGATCTTTATTTCATAAAAGAGCTGAATGCTCACAATGACAATGTTAACATGCTGATGTTTAAGAGGTATACCATTTGTCATGCTTATTACTATCATATCTTACTGAGCTTACATGCTAACATTTGATAATTATTACTGAAAACAACAAGAAGTTTATAGAAGATTTCTATGGCAATATCTTAATAGAGCCGTGCCGTTAGTCTACAGTAATATAGTGTGATGTGTGAAATTATTATGACAGACGAAGTTGAGATTTTGTGTAGAGAAGTAGTATTGAGTTGTTTCATGTAATGTGTCTTCTTACTGAAAAGTGGTTCATTGCCTTTTGAACTGAATACATTTTTCTTTCATCTTACGAAGACATTCTGTTTAGATGTTTATATTTTGAAGAATTGTCCAGATTCCATCTCTTATGTATGCATGAGGCCCAAGCAGAAAGCACAGAGGAGGTTTTTTTAACACAAACCTTGCCATTGGCACATTCTCTGTACATGACATGTGACTTTTTAGATTCATTAAAATGGCGTCTGTTCGGCTTCACTGCACTGTTACTGGTCCCTTGGTTGTCATTGTTACTTGATCTACAGTATGTTTGACCTTTTTTATTTCACTGGAATCTCTACTTAGTATAAAGCCTTCATTCAGTTAATTGTTAGCATTGGTGCTGAGTGAATGTTTGAATTGTAACACTGTTCCTCCAGAGCTATAAAACACACAGTGTTAGTGCACCTGTGTGGAACTGGTGGTGGGCTATGATCTGGCTGATCTTTAATCATATAGACTTATAGCCATTAGCTTGAGCTTGTATATATCTCAGAGAGTTAAGCCTGTGCTTATCATTTTTAATGTAGCTACAGTATAGTGTCTACTGGAATTTGCCCTACTTTCGCAGTTAACCTATAATACTGTCACAGTGTGAGTAATATTCATAGTGTTAATGGTATGGTTGATACCCCCATTCCAACTGCTTCTAATTTATTATCCCTACTATGTCAAGGTCAGGTTCACCTACTTTTAAATCCCTTAAGCTTGTGAATAGTATAGTAATATTCCTAATGTTTTTTTCTCTTCCCAAACTCTTCTGACAGCACTTCCACGATGGGCGTAAGGCACAGCAGCACATTGAGAGCTCGTGGAAACAGCTGGAATCGGTAAGTGACCCCATTATTGTGCAGTACTATAATTGTTCACTAGTAGCAGTTTCCATTGGTCACAGGTGCTATAGTGACTCTCAAGAGAGACAGAACTAGAACATAATAACCTCATGTCATAACCAATTACCCAATGAGTTACTTATGCATTTCACTCGATCATTAATCATCATCGTTACAGAATGATGTTTCTTTTCAAAGGTAGTCATTAAGAAATTAACGTTAATTAGCTACAGCCGATATAATCTGCTGCAGGTGACAGATGTCATTTTAAATGGTCAGTGCCAGGTAAAGATAAGAAGCTTGCTTATGTTACTGGAATGTTTTCTAAATTGCTCAGGACTAATAAAAAGAGGGATGAGAGGTGAAAAAAAAGATATCCGGATTTGTTAGCTCCGTTGCTAATGAATGCGGGTATTTTTCAAAAATCAAACCGCCTATCAGAACTCAACCTTAGTCATGACATTAAACGCTGTGTTTGTCTATATGCTGTGGTTTGTGGTCTAAGGCCTTATAATCAGCATTTAACATCTATGCCGCATCATACTAAAGCACATGTTGCAACAGACACTTGAGGATTAGCTGTGTGACTATAGAATACATCATTATCAAAAACTGAGGGTGCACATACAGAAGGTGGTTTCTAAATGGAAAAGAAAACATCAGGAGAGGGCTTCACACAGCGCCCTGAGGTCCCTCATGTCCTGTCTTCACCCAAAACCTCAAACAGTGTGCCATTTCTTTTGCTCGAAATGGGGACATGACAGTGGTTATAAGTGGGCTATGGGATAATTGTGAAATACAACTTACTGACTGTTTTAAAGAATGTGTTATTGCATGATTTATGTTATCCTCTCCTTGAGTAGCAGGCTGATAATGTTAAGAATGTAAAAACTCTGAACAATCTGATAAGAAAGAAAGAAAAGTTACAAAAATAAGTTTCACTTGAACAGCAGTTGTGCATCTTTGTAGTCGTCAATAGTAACGTAGAATGATTTAGAACTACTGTATAATTCCAAGCTTTGTTAAACCCTGGATAAGAGCAGATCCAGGAGTGTCTAGTGTTTTAGTGAAGGAGCTAAAAGAGAGATTGTGCAGAATAGCACTTCTTATCTCTGCCTGGCCCCTTTGACGGGGGAGAGAAAGAGTGTGAGAGAGATGCATAACTGCCTTGTCCTCCTCAAACTTCTCTGTGCGTTCAATGATCCCATTGTGTGCGAGGCAGATAGGCATAGTTCAGAGTGCACGCAGGCCCAACAAACACCGATTGTTCCGTTAGAGGGGTCGAGAGAGGGTTGGATGAATGGTTGTTTTTCTGTACACAAATGACCACTATGAACATTTATTTAATCTGCAGGCTGCAGACTTTGACATACCCCACTGCTGTGTCAATGACAAACTGACCTCTGTCGCACACAATGCTGCGCCTGAAATCTATATGACGTATATGTACATGTTATGACATTCATTACTATGCTTATTTAAAGGTCAAGTTACAAAGTGTTTCCTGCTACAGCTCATGGCCGAAAATTACTGAAACAATGCCTCTGATCCTATTGTATTTTATTTTCTGCTTTTTCAGTGTAAAAGAAGGTTTGAGAGGGACTGTAAAGAGGCAGACAGAGCCCAGCAGTACTTTGAGAAGATGGATGCTGACATTAACGTGACTAAGGCTGACGTGGAAAAGGTATGTGTCATCTCAGTCGTGTACAGCAACCACCAATCACGCAAGCTTGTCCTATACCCTCCGTGCTTAACACAATTGCCTGGCCTTCCTCACCCTCCCACCTAGCACCCTCCCCTTTCTCTCGCCTTTTTCTTTGACATTTTTGCCCCATTCTATGCCCCTGACTCCTCATTACACTGAGCCCGAAAGACAGCAAAGATTGAGTGACCATGTGTTTGATGCCAGGGACTGTGTGTAAAAGCTGGCATTGTCTCAACAGCACAGTGAACGGCTGCTAAACAAAGCTGATAGCAGCACCGAGTCCTCATTATCACTGTAGAGCAGCCACCGAACACTCTGCTGTGCTGAATGGGCCTTAGCAACAGAGAGGGCTGTGTCCATAGTGGAGCTTGTGTGTGTTTTTATGTGTGTTGTGGATTATACATATTATTTGGCTTTTCTTTTTCATAGTGAAGAATCTAAATACATAGTTTGGTCTTTCTGTGATTATACATTCTCTTCAATAAATCAACACATGCGGCGATCATCCCTTTCTCAGGACTTGTAGACCAGAGCCCCCTGGGCCTGTAGCCGATGTCATTTCCTGTTGTCATAACCAATTGAAAGAGCCCTTCAAATCTCAGCCTTTAACCCACACAGCTCCCACGCCCGCAAGGCATCATGGGTCAGCAGCGCGTGCTCCTACTGCTTCATCAGCTGTTGGAGCAGAGCTCAGGCTCAGAGTTGACACAGTTCAGACCCGATTATTATGCAAATATAGGCTGGAATAAAGAGCCTTTCTGCACTCTGGATGTACAGCCAAGTAGCTACAATAGGCTTAGGCTAACACTGAACTCAACTGGAAAGACCCAGAACAGCAGCTCAAGAAAGTAGTCTTGAAACAAGAGTGGTGTTGTGTCTGATTACAGTTATTTCCTTTATTGAAGCATGAAGGACTGGTTGCACATAATTCAGTGCTGTATTCCTTTGCTCTCATTTAGTTTCTATTATTGTTTATGTAAAGTGATAATGGATTCTTTAAAGATTCCCCCCCTGGCTTGTGTTCTATTGACTTTTTAATTTCTGTTTATGACACTGAAATGTATATTCAGTTTAATCCCTGTTAGTGCTTTAAGGAGGCTCTTTGCTATGCTATTTGATACAGAATGGTTACTTCCTATCAAGCAAGAAAGTACCACATTGAAACTACTACATAGTTTTTCCATAGTCCATTTTCTTTGAAGATTCATTTTTTACCTTGCTGTGACTTATTATATACATTGTCTCAACACCCTGCAAGTTGGATTTTAAGCTATAGTGAAATAGATGAAAGCTAATAACTGCAATGAATGTAGGAAATAAATCTAGAAGCCTTTGTTATGGATTAGAAAATGGTAAGCAGCAATGGAAATTGTATGAGAATCGTCGTTAAGGGACTGGAAAAAAATGAAATGAATCTATGTGGTGAACAGTCACTTAACATAGCTTTAAAACTCTCGAGTCACTCGCTGTATGTTCCTCAATCAGACCATACAATAAGGTGCTGTGGCTCACATTACCTTGTACCATAATGAATATGTATGCTTTTCAGCATCTCACCCTGCTTGCTGATGTATAGATCACCACAAACAATATTAGCTTTCTCATTAACTGTTTCTTTCTATGTGGTCTTTCTGACCAACCTCAGTTCTCTCATTTCCATTGTTCAGAAATGAAATACGTATAATAGTGAAGATTCAACTTCCCCAGATTAGTCACTGTGGAACGGTTTGGATTTCTTTCCCAGACGTTTTTTTGAATTCCTCTGTGTGTTAATCTAACTTTATTATTGGGGTTATTGTGTTTTTTATTGTATCTTGATATTCTATCAACTGTGATTTTGCAATTAGAGTCCAGAAAAGGTGCATGAATGTGCGGATGTCTGTGGTTTAGACACTGATGCTGCAATGCTGCATGACTTCTCCACATCCTTTTCAAAGTTTCTTTAGCTCAGTAGCATATAAAGTTTATAGGCATTATCATTACATTTGCTACATCAGTGACTCCCAACCACAGGTACATCTGCAGTTTCCTAGGGGGTACGTGAAAAGATTGTAGAATAACTCAACTAACATAAAAAATATCTAAACTACAATTTAATTAAAAAGATATATGTATCAACATATTAAGTCAGCTGTAACACCGGAACAGCAAGTGTTGAGTGTGTGAAAACTAGCTGTTAATAAGCAAGCAAGGTCTAAAGCTAAAAGCAATGTATAAATGGTTAGAATAGCAAAAAGTAACTGTCTTGTGCCACATGTAGTACAAATGTAAAGTTGAACAAACATAACAATGCCAAAAATATTCTAGTAATATCCACTTCTATACTATGCAGTGTTAACTAACATCCAGCACCAATTAATGGACACATTCAGAACATAACTGGTGGTCTTGAGGAAGGAGTGCTTGAGTTCATCTGACAGGACTGTGGGAGTACGTCTAAAAGAAGGCTGGGAAGCGCTGTGCTACATTATTTGGAAAGTAAAGCAAAAATTACATCTCATTTCCAAACTGCTCAGTTAGTTTTTTGGTAATAAACAGCTCTGGTCATAAAACCAAGCCACAGAAAACAACAGATCATGTGCCTCATGATCATGTTTTTGTCTTTGCAGAGACAGAGTATTTAACACCGGAAGGGATGACATGTCACAACCTCAGCCTAGTTTGTGTTTATTTTTTATCCTCAGTTATAGCCTTGGGGTGTAAGTAGGTCTGGGTTGGACAGAACAGATGCATGATAGGAGAAGATGAGAAGAAAATATATATATATTATACATGTTTGTAGGCATAGTTGTGCGCCTGTGCACTAGTATTCTGCAGCTAATGAAGAAATTTACTTTTGCAGTTACGTTTCCTGTCAGTAACAATAAAAAATAATCCACCAATATTTGATTTACACATATTTTGTCAAGCTCCAGGAGTTTTGTCTGTGATGTGATGTCTCCCTGTGATGTTATAAAGCTGCTGTTTGTTAAGCTGAGGTATTGTGGTTTTCTCTGCAGCTGGAGCAAACCTCTAAATGTTCCCTCTCCTCCTCTGGCAAACAAATCCCTCAATTTGGGGTTTGGATTCACAGCAGGCTATCCACAAAGCCTGTTACAGTTACTTTGGGGGACCCCCAGCCCTCACACACAGATTTCCCTGTTGTGGAGATCCTCAGTCATAAAGCATTAGTAAAATGACACAGTGCCCTCCTCTCCACTTGTGTTCTGGCTCTACTAATAGCATAAGACAGTCAGCAGTTTACAACACCAGTATTTTAGTGGAAATTGTGTTTGTTTACCGTGATACTAACTTCCCCTTATGACTGGTGACATAGTCGGTGGTCCAGGAAGTGCATCTATGGCAACTTCTTGTTTAGCTGGAAACGGCTAACAATCCTCTTTTTGTTTGTGTGTGTGTGTGTTTGTATATCTATTTTATGCCATGCCTTGAAGCGAAGTTCCCACAAGGTAGGTCAAGCGGACAGAGAGTCTGTTATATCTGTGGGAACACACACTGTCTATACTTGTGTCTCAATAAACGCACACACGCTCTCCTGTAGAGTCTGACACACAGTCTCGACCAGGTCACTGTTAACACGCCCTGTCCTGTCTGACTGTGATCTGCTCCCCGTACGGTGGCTTGTCTCGCTGTCTATTGCTGAACACCGTCTCACCCTGAGGTTTATATGTGTGATGTGAGAAAAGTTAAATGAGAGGCTGTTGTATAAGACCACAGCTTTCATACCAATCTTCATTCAGATGTTCTTTTTGTTCCTTATTCTCATTTGTATAGAGAGGTGGAGATTTAAATAGGTGGATAGATGCACACATGCATATGCACACAGAGGTCTTAGTAACAGAAAAACAGGTAATTTCCAGAAAATGACAACAGGATGTGATGTGGCTGCAGGCACAGCAGCTTTTTACGAGGTTTCGTTATCTGCCAAGTTACCATGGCGACGATGTGTACCCTCATTCAGCACACTTTGCATGCACCAACACCAGCGTAGCACATATCCTTAAATGCATGCTCAAAGGTCCACACGTAGATTTTAAACAGCTGGACTTTCACATGTGCTTTTCAGCTTCTCTTTGGATTTCACATTCCTGTTTTTTTCATAGGCTGTGACTATCATTTTCCACTGAGGTATTAACTGTCATCCCTCCTGTGCTGGAAATAATGTACCTTTGTGTCTGACGAGTGTCTCTGCTCTGATGTCCTCCTTTTCTTCGAGTATGTCATCTATTACTTTCCCCTATGTGTGTGAGTGTGTGAGACTCAACTCATGCCTCAGATTGGTGTGTGGGTGAAAACTGGATGAGGTCCTTTAAATGTTTCCCTTAGGACTATGACAGATCAGGGTTATGTTCCCTCTACTGCCCCACACAGTTTAATAGCTATAATGTTTTCCTTTGCGTCTGCATTCAGTTCAACAAAAAGCAATCAGGGGTTCATAAGGTGATTCCTTGTTGTAAATGACCGTATGAAAACAACTGTTTTTGTGTGTACAGGCCTCAGATCTGATAGAAAGAGGAAACAGATAGGAGTACTTAGCTACACACACACCCCACATGCTGTCTAGCTGAGATAATCTCATCTCCATCTGCTTGCCTTGGATCTGTAATAGGCTGCCCCTGCTGTGTTTCTGACTGCCTGCCTTTTCCCTGAGACTGAACTAGCTTAAAAATATCAACATTATCAACAGTAGAGATAGGCCAGACCGGGCAGGCAATCAAAATCCAAATCCCTCCATTCTGCAGCCAGTGCAGGCTGTTGTCTCTCTTTGTATATGTTCACTCTGGCCTACTTTTAGTACATTCTTAATGCCAGCGGCTGTCACTGCTGCCCGACTCGGATTCGCACCTGTGACCGTGCGTCCATGAGGTCTATGTTTATGTGTGTACATGTCCATGCATGAACACTCCTATGCACAAATGTGTCAACTCATATAGGTTTTGGTGCTCTGGCTGTGTGTATGTAACCCATATGTTTGTGTTAATCAGGGGGCACTGATGTTTAGTGACGAGATCGTGTCTGATATTAATGTTTGTGTGTGTTGTTTTTTTTCCTCAGGCACGACAGCAAGCTCAGATGAGGCACCAGATGGCTGCTGACAGTAAGGGTGATTACTCTTCCTACCTGCAAAAGTTCAACCAGGAGCAGAATGAACATTACTTTACAATTATCCCCAACATATTCCAGGTAAATATAACAGCATATGGCTTGTTTCTTCTATGTTGTTGTGGATAATTGCACTTTCGTTGCACAGTTTTTAAACAAACCAGTGTTTCGCATACATCAAAATGTATTTAGGTCTCCGCCCAAATACATCTGTTAAAACCCAGAAAATGTTTTTATATTTTGTGTTTGTCATTTCTGTCTTTCAAAACCCTTTGAGCAAATGCAGATATAAGTCCAGCTAATTGAAAAGTCTGCTATAATGGTGCATTCATGTGCAATCATTAGCTCGTCAATTCAGTGCTGTTTGGAGCCCACCTCCCCCACCCCCCTCTGGGTCAACTGCTAAAAATAAATTCTTAACATGCGAGAAACACTGAGGGGTAATAAGCCTTCATTATGACGCGGGTGCAGTTATTTTGGACATGCTATTTGGTGTGTTACATTTAGACCTTTTTTGAGTTTGAAATACTAAAATGATTCTTTCCACTTATTCAGGATCTTTAAGTTTTCACTTCTCTAGTGCTGTTTTCTAAAAGTAGGGTCAAACATTTAAGAAGTACATAAGAAATTCCCCAGATGGTATGTCAAATCTTTGATGCTCAATATCAAAAGACAGCTCTTTGAGACAGTTTGACAAACCCACAGTGTATCACTTTCAACGCAAGCCCTGCCCACTCACTCTTATTCTGTAACACAAACTAATAAAGTTTGTATTTATGTATGAATATGCCTGTATTTCCATGTAGAAACTTCAAGACATGGAGGAGAAAAGAATTGAGAGGCTAGGAGTGTGCATGAAGACATTTGCAGAGGTGGACCGCCAAGTGCTGCCCATCGTGGGGAAATGTTTAGATGGCATGACGAAAGCCGCCGAGTCCATCGAGCCCAAGACTGTGAGTATACAGAATAAAATATATGTGCACACACACCACCATATGGGACATATTACTCACTCAGCCATGGTGTCAGTCACAACCCACACACTACCGATTAGGATTTCATTGAAACAACAAATGCGCCAGTACTCTCGGGGGGCCTTCTGAAAGTAAAAACAGTCCACCTGTGAACAACAAAGTGCCGTAGGAGGACAGCGTTGTAACTGAGAGAATAGCTGACCAAAATAATTCAATTTATGACCTCCCCTTTATAGTAAGGAGACCCATGAAATACAAGCACATGAGCGACTCCTAGCGCTTTGTGTCACCGAAAAATACATGCCATAATTCCCCTCAACAATAAATGAAAAATAAGTTCCATGTGAATGGTTTCCCCTTGAGTTCCAGTTAATGAGCTAATAGTTGCAACAGTCTGATTTTCTTCCTCAGATCATACTGAAAATTTGAAGAAAAATGGTTGAAACTCACTTGATGCATTACTCACAGTATAGGGTGTGTCTGCCCTCTTCCAGAGGACTGTCCACTCTTCATGAACACACTTCCCTGAAGGCGGTGCAGAGTTTTATTTATTTACTGTCGAGTGAAGTTGCAGAGGTAGCATGGCTGCAGTCCTTTAGATTTTAAGAAATAGTTTGATATAGAGGTATATGAGAAGATTAATACCACTTTGTTGTCTGTATTGTAAACATGAAGCAACTCCAAGCCGCTGGTTAGCTTAGCTTAGCATAAAGACTGGAATTAACACATTATATCTTGTTTGTTAAAAACTGAAGTGAAAAAAACCCAGGGAGTTTTACGCAGGGGAGTGTGCATGACAAAACCAGTTGGTAGGGGGCCTGTGGCAACTCCAGGAAGTTACCGGTTCAAGCCAAAAAAACCCTGAAATACCCCGTGGAAAGGTGGTTATAACACTTTGCTTCCTTTACTTTGTGCTATGTTAAGCTAAGCAGTTACTGGCTGTAATCCTATTTTTAAGGACAGGTATGAGGATTTTATTACTCTCCTCATCTAATTCTCAGTCAGGCAGCAATGAGGTTATTTCCCCAAATGTCAAACTATTTCTTTAACACCTGTAACTGTTTGGGAAATAGGAGGAAGTTGAGTCACTGTGCTTCCAACAGTCTATACCTTCAGTAGAGCTCCTTTTCTATTTTCAGTTTACACACTTCCACAAAGCTAATATGCAGTCGTTGGCACACGTTCTGTCCCATGGCTTATTTTTTATTATTTGGATAGTGAAATGAGAGACGGCATTTGCTACGTTAAAGAGAAAATGAGCCGTGTGATATATTGAGATGTGACATGTTGGCTGCTTGCCGTATGACAAAAAACCAGACTTTCCCCAGGGAACGCATAGTATATGTGTGTGAATGTGTAGTTGTGTGTATGGCCCAGCTCCAGGGAGATGACTCCAGCCTGTGACTGGCTGCTACAGTAAACAACAGCGGGGAATAACACATCACATGCTCCTTTCCTCTCTCTGTCTCTCTTCCTCTCATAGTCTTCTCTCATCTATATAGTGCACAACAGCAGATCTTTGACCCCAGAATCCTAATTCCAACCAGACCCTCTGCCTTTATCAGTTCAGATAGGCTGATGCACATTGCATTTGATTAATGTGCTCCTTCCTGTGTCTGTTGAGCCTGGCTGCGTCCCCGACCTCAGTGTTTTTGTCGTAACTCCTGCCTGACAGATTTAGGTCTTTTCCTCTTTCTTCTGTGGCCCACAAACTAAGTAACGACAGTCTCTCTCCCTCTTTTTTTTCATGACGCACTCGTGAACTGTTATCAGACAAAAACTGCTACAAACAAGAGAGTCACCAGGGCACTATTGTGTTGCATCTTATCTCCAGACCTGCTGATTAGCTGGACAATCTAAACAAACCGCATAGAACCTTTTAGCCATTGCTTTGCATTTTATTATTCTTTGATATTTGAAATAAATGTGGATAAAAATGTATCAAATATAAGCCTGTCACTGATGGCTACAACCACTCTCCAACCACCAGGACTCCAAACAGGTGGTGGAGTCCTATAAGTCCGGCTTCGAGCCCCCGGGAGATGTGGAGTTCGAGGACTACGGCCAGGCCATGAAGAGGACGGCGTCTGAAACCAGCCTGTCCAACTCCAGAGAGGCCAAGGAGAAGCCTGCTGGCAAGAGCAAAGGCAAACTGTGGCCTTTCATTAAGAACAAGAACAAGGTAACACATGAATGCCACATTTACACCCGAGTGTGCAGCAATGCCTAGCTGGTTTTAGTGTTTTACAAGATTATATTCACTTGGATGTGACCTTGCACTGCGGGGAGATTTTTGTGGATTGTGGGTGGAGGGCTGCAGGGATTTTATTGGTTGTAGGATGTTATGTTGGTTTTGTCTTTTAATACAGTGGTTATAAGAAATACATGTGTTCAATGTCACATTTGTAATATCTGTTACATTTCCAGCACTGGTTATGTATTTAATTTAGTTTCATTTTTGTGTAGATTCTTTGACTTTCGTTAGCTTCTTTTAAGCTCAAGAAATTTGTTGCTAGTTCATGTTACTATTGCCATTTTTGTTGTTATTTGCGCCACCCATTTCCCCCTCCCTGGCAATCACCCTCAACGATTTTGGAGCCTCCCTTCTGTAACACACACTAATGCATTTCTACCTTCATCTTGTGGACGGACTCAACTGGCAGATATTAACTCGGTCTGGAATAACAGTCTCCCTCACCGGTTTTTCCATTGACTTTTGATCAGCCTTGAGTAGCCTCCTTCGGTTTCCTACTTCTGAACAGCAAAACTGATCTCTGACTGTCCTATGGGCTGACTGGGCTGGTGGCACTGTTGGTATTGAATTAGGCCAGAGCATGAGTGAGTAATTGACTGTGCGTGTGTGTGTGTGTGTGGAGAGAAAGGCTAGAAGCAAGTGAGTGCAATGCTAGATGAGAAACCCCAGCATACTGATGTATGTGTATAGAAAATGGTGTTTGAACTCTTTGTATGCAGTGTGCACACTCCCAAAACTAAGGAATACTTACTCAGAACAATATGCTTCTATTATCTTTGCTTGATGTAGCAGAGACAGCCATACAGAGAGGTATTTCTACTGTACATGTACACTTGCACACATGCATGCAATCATAACAGAAACACATTTCAAAATAAAACATATATTAATATATGGATAATTCTATAGAAAAACACCATTATTGCCTCACAGAATCAGGGTTTCTAGAGATTTTTCTGTCTCATTGTGTGAAAGAAGGGTTTCTGAATCACTTGCCCATGCATGCGCATTGTGTGGTGTCTTAGAACTCATCACAGCTTCATTCTCTAACTCCTCAACTACCGGTTGATGAATTATGCAGTCAGACGTTTTTGGACAGCGATAAGCAATTAGATTTCTCTGATGATGACCTCAAATTCAGCTGCTACTATCCTTGGGGATGTGGTGAATTTCTCGTCCTAGCTGGCATGTGATGAGGTCGCGAAGGAGAAAAAAAGGGAAAAGGATTTCCAAAATGGAAGCCTGCATGCGCTTTGACTGAAAATTTTTGCTGTTTGCTTCGTTGCAGCCGCTTGCTTTAACACATTTTTGCGCTTCCTACTCACTCTGGTTTTCTTCTTTTTAACTGTTTTTTTTATGTTTTATATGTTTGACATTTTTTCCACAACATAACAACTGATACACTAGGTTCGACGTTCCTTTGGTCTTTTACGTTCTGTTTGGGTTTTCTGTTGTGTGTTTATTTTTTAATATTTGTAGGAGGCTTATTTATTTCGTTTTGTGTTCCCTCCTCCTTTTTCTCCTTTTTCTTTTTTCGTTGGATTCTTGCCCCCTTCTTCTTCTTCTTCTTC